AAAGTTACACTTCTGTGCTGGTGGCCCCCCCTCCCCTGACAACACGCTCCCCTTGCTCGGTTGAAGGTGGTCCCCTTGACGATGGGTCAGGAAGATGAAGCCGAATACAAACCCTCACCCTGCAGTCAGATGCCTGCCCTGCCCTCCCCACCCTGCTATGCGGCCATTTCCAGTCCTGCTTTTGGACAAAGATCAGAATCACATGGAGGTAAAACACCTTATTTTTAGGCTACCCCTCACTTACTTAATTTCATTATACCCTCCCTAACTTGGAAGAGGAGATTTGACAGATGAGATTTATTTGAGAAAGGGCAAAATTGAGAGCAGCAAATGCACAAGGCTAAAGAGGCCTTTCTCTTTGCAAAGCCAGCAGCCCTCTGCACGGTGAAGCCATGAGCATAGGTGCACGGCTGCTTCTGCTCAGCCCAGCACCCCTGCACCAGTGCAGCGCCCGGCTCAGCACGCAGGATGCACACTCAATAAATACTTGGGGCATAATGAATAAATCAATGGCAGTTGTTTGGATTTCAATATAAATGGATCTTGGACCTGAGATATTGCCAGATGGGCAGACAGGTTACAGGCTGGTGATGCATCTCCAAGGCTATAAAAATGTAGCTGTTTCTGGAGTCATAAGCTGACATTTCAGAAGATGATTATATGCACAATTTAACCACACGGCCATTCGTGCCCTCCAAGTGCCATCGCTTCAACAACTGTTTTCATGTTGGCTTTCTTGCTCATTCCTTTTTTTTTTTTTAAAGTCAAGCACAATTTTTTTCTGGCTTCTCATATTTCTAGCGGAACGAGATTTATTCATATGAAATTATGCTCCATTTTTATAAAACCCAAGTTACTGCAAACGATGCTTGAGGTTTCACAGAAAATATTAATTCCTGATCTGCTGCTATAAAGCACGCCTGCTCACCGTGCCGCAGCCCTGTCGCTCTGAGACAGATGGAAGCAGTCCAAGGGGATGATTAACTTCTTAGTCCTGGCAATTTCCTAGCGCTCCTCTTGCCCTAGATTTCAAGACTGACCTCCAGCTTCTCTGCAAATGCATAGTTGCTCAGCTTGATAAATCACACGACTCCTTTTTTTGATCACAGTTATCTACTATTTACTACTTAGGAAGGGAAGTTAATCGTATTCAGAGGCACTTTCCATGCTGCACACATATCCTGCCTTCTCCTGACAGCACTTTGCATATTTTCCACATTACTGGCTATAGGGCAGCTTTCACAGTGCAGCGTCCACACCAAAGACACACCTTTATAAATGAACCTCATGCCCATTTATGGCTCTTCTCCTCTGCCTCTTTCTACCCCATCAGGACAACAATCCATAAGAAGAAAAAACCCTGGAGAGCACATTATGAGGAGTGAACAAGTGAGAGGGAGAGTGTCCCCTTGCAGATTGAGGTTTTCTTGTTATTGGCTTGTTTACCTTGTTGGGACTTTTGCCACCTCTTCCTGCCCTGGTCTCTTGCTTTTTTTCATAACTTGGGGTATCAGTGGGCCTCTGTTAGGCCAGCTGACTCTCAATGGCATAAAATAGACATGAAAATTCCAGTCTGCAGTAGAAAAGGACAAAAAATGCTCCACCCTACCCTCACTCAACCCTCCCCGTCACTGCAGGGTGGCACGAGTGAGTTGGGCAGAAGCCCCAGTTTGCCTTGCTGTGTGACCCAGTTTTGACCTCTGGTATACTTTGGCTATTTTGGCTGAACCATAAATTAAGCCCATCACTCAGGCAAAACCAAACAAGGCAAAAGATCTTCTTTGGAGGTGACCACAGATGACTTTTAAATTCAGGTAATGGAAATATCATTGTTTTAATTTATCAAGATTATATATTGATTACTGAGGACTCACTGAACTTTGGAGCATAGAGTCTTGACTGGCAGATATTGGGTTTCTGCTAGAATGCCGATTTAAAGCAGGAAACTGGAGAAATGAAAACATAGATGAGACTGGCCTTCAGAAGACATCTGGATGTTCTCTTACCTCTGATGGCCCACAGGAAGGAGATTTCTATCTGACCTTAGCAAGCAAAGGGAAATGCCACCCTTTTCTTTATAATTAGTCTCATCAGGTCAGGACTCAAAGCCTTGAAGGTAGGCTTTCTTATGGGGAAACAGAGAACAACGACTGGCTTCCTACAGCGTAAACTCACATCCCTTCCATAACCCCAAGTCAACCAAATCCTATTTCATCATCAAGTTGTACATCTTGAAACAAAATGGCTCTACTCCTGTATCAAACATCCTTGTATTCACCTGGTCCTCAAGGCAGTGATAAGACTAACCGGAAGAGAAACGGGCCCACACATGCACAAACCAGCAGGACCCTGATGATGCAAGGAGCCCATGGTGCCATGGCTTGAGCCAACATGGTCTTTTCTGTCCCACTCCAGAACTGCAGAACTCTGGAAGCACCTTTTAAGGTCTGAAAAGTGCTTTTCCTTTTTCCAGGACAAAAATGAAAGTGCTATCTAATCATTGTAGAATTTTATATCAGGAGGTAGTGATAGGCTGAAAAAAAATGGTTTAGGAAACCAGAATAGTTTGTGTAAATGAATGTATAATAGATGAATACCAGGCTATAACCAGCCAGAGATATCGGGGTGAGGTCTCCACCTGGGAAGGTCACGATCTGGGGGCAAGTTTTACTCAACTCCATTCCTACCCTGCGGTGGTTCCTCTGACAGAGAGAGTATTAGGCAAGTCATGCAGTGGTCTGACCCAGAGTTACACTGAACATTTTCTAGAAAATACTGGCTTATTCAACAGAGTAAGTAATGTGATAGAAAAGGACATCACTTGGCAAGTTAGCGTTCTCTAATTTAAGAAACTAGAAAATATGAATCCAATTAATTCAGTAGGTGTTTTAAGACCTTACTTTAAAGAAGGGTTTTAAATCGTATCTCCAAATGATTACAGATGCTTCTCACTTATGGAAATTACTCGTGTGGCCCCAAATTAGGAGGAAATAGAAAGGAAAAAGCACAGAGAAGGTAGCTTTACATAAGTGCATTGCTACACGTATAGGTAAAGTCAACGCATTACTTTGAAATCAGCCAAGTTCCCCAAATTGTCAACAGAAATACTTAGATTTAAGGGAGATATGCTCTACTACATTTGAAGACAGAGAAATTCATAAAAGTAGTGACAACGGGAACCTCTGTTTCTCTTTTTGTTGGGAATGGACTTTTTTTCTCACAGTGTTCTGCACTTAGCAGTTACATAATCAACAGGGGCTGAGACGCTGACTTACTAGTCAACTAACTACTTGGCTTTAGAGAGAATATCAGAAGAAAGTCAAGGGAATAGCGTTGCCCATCATTAAAATCCATAGACATTTTCCACCAGGACACAGTCATGCGTCTCTTGGGAAGAAGCCTTAGAATGTACAGTCCTAGTGTCTGATGACTTGTCTCCGTATTTGCAACCATGTCTTCAAAGGGGGTTCATATTTTCCTAAAATAGGTTTTGATTCATTCTACCAAAGGTCATAATGACATTTTTTGTCTATAAATGTAGCTTTATTGAAATATAATTTATATACCATAAAGTTTGCCCACTTAAAGTGTGCAATTAAATGGTGTTTAGTATATTTACAGGGTTGGGAAACCATCACCACAATCTAATTTTACAATGTTTTCATCACCCCCAAAAGAAACCTTGTAACCACTGGCAATGACATAATATTGTAAACTTAGGGCTTTCCCTTGCTTCTCAAAGCATGTTGTTGAAGGAAATGCTTCCTTGAAAAGTTAAAGGGAAAAAAGAAATATGGATAGGAAAGGAATTATTGTATCAGATTTTAAAAGTATTTTGATCCAGAGTCTCTCCTCCTTCTACCAACAGACTCAGAAGAAGTACAGCTCTCAGCTTTTGCGAAAATTCCAGAAGCAGTTCAAGAAGATCACGTGGCAGCCGCTCTCAGAGCGCACAGGCTGGCATGGCTGTCATGGGGAAGGCTTTCCAAGTGAAATAAAAACGCTCAGGCTCAGCCTGCTACCATAGAGAAAAGGCTTTTCATCCATGTGCACAGATAATTCGCCTAAGTGACAGGTTTTACCTTGGAGAAGCACTGAACTGAGCTAGCTTACACAGTCAATTATTGTTCATTTCACAAAAAAAAGAACTGGGAAGGGAGGGAGGGCAGTGAAGGTTGGCTAGACAATGCTGAGGTGCCTGCCCGCCAGCCGAGGGGAACATCTCCAGCTGTTTCTAACACTGCAAGAATCTGGCTTGTGGAGACAAACAGGGGCTTCATCCTTACCTCCTGAGAGTGCTTTAAAACCCACACGTGCACAAACACACATACCCCAAACTGAGTATGTGAAAAGTCAAAACCAAACCAAAACAAAAAAGGGTCTAGTCTGTCCTAGAGGGTAACTTTATGTATCCATGTTCAACTATTTTCATACGTTTTAGGCAAAGCAGGATGTGAAATACAGCTTGAGTGTTTCTGGGTTAGGTTCCTGTAGCTCATTTGATAACACAAATCAGAAAAAACAAGCCAAAGCAAGGAGTAAAAGTCAGGCACTCAGGACTACGAACTGGGTTACACGCATAAAGTATTTCAAGAGAATCTCATCAAAAGACAGATAACTCCCAGTGAAATGATATGGAAAAAGTCAGAAGACAACATCTCAAAATAAATGAAGTGCTTATTGCTGAAAAATGAGCTTAGATCTCAACCAATTCAAAAGTGCAGAATTTACCGTGCCATTCGGGCCTTTTCCTCTAAGTTTCTTGTCTCTTGTTTCATTGCACAACAAGAGGTTCTTCATACTTTCTATGAAATACAACACGGCGCTTTTTGCAGTAATAAACTCCACACATGCGTGACAAATCCAAGCGTGCAAAATGTTTAACATCCCAGTTCACAGATACTTTAGGGACAAAATCCGATTATGAATTATATGCCACAATAAATAGGGCTGAATGTTTCATAAAGCAATTTATAGTTCATAAAAATGACAAAATGTACCTGTCAGACAGACCGTGGAGTGCAGTTCTCTGGGCTGCCTGCTGGAAGAAAGGACAGACATGTTTATTTAATATTCTGACTTTTAAATTATGTGCTCAATCAACACTTTTTAAAAAACCTGTGTCATATACCTTTTTGCCATGTGGTCAAATATTAAACTACTAGCAACCTAGTAGAGAGCCGTGCCAGGTTGCGAAAGGAACATTCCTGAAGGGTTAACTGAAGTTGCCACAGTGCACACCTGCCCCCAGGGGCCAAGCTTTGGGGTGGTGCGAGGTGTGCCACAGGTGAGGTTGGACAGGTCTCAGGAGACCCGGCAAAGATCAGAGCCATTTCATTTTTACTTCCTGAAATTGTTTTTTACCGTTGCTTCATTCTACTCTCCTGTAAGAAAAAAGATCTGTTTTGATTTCTTTGCTGCTTCTTTCCCAACAAAGGTGTAATTTTTGACCAAGTTTTCGGATTCATTGAAAAAGTCACCACAATTGGAAATTGGAACACTGACTGGAAATGTGATGATATTATGAGATTGATTTGTTTTAGGCATAGTAATGATATTGTGGCACTTTTTAAAGAGTCTGTTAGAAATTCATATTGAAATATTATGCATACAATTATATGATGTTGAGATTTGTTTTAAAATAATACAGTTGGAGGGAACGGAGAGTGGGTGAGCATATAAATGAAACAAGATAGCCTTGGGTTGATAACTCTTGAAGCTTGGTGATGAGCACATTGGGAGATTATTATATTATTCTGGATATTTTTGTATGTGTTTGAAATTTTCCATAATGCAAAAACTAAGAGAAAAAAGAAAAGAAAAAGGCCTCCATTTCTCCCTCAGATTCTCCCAGTTTCGCACTCACTTTCCACTTATCTGCCTATTCTGTTTGTTGTCCATTTGCCTTCTATCGCTGAGCACTCTGACACTTTGGAAGGCGGAGGGCACACTCTGTTCTCTGTCTCAGAAGTCACAGTTGGGAGGGGATCAAAGCATGGCCTCTAAGACCGAGGCTTACTCAGGGTACTAGGAAATAAGGACTGCTAGGTCCATTTCCACCTTGAATACTGCACATGTCAAGCTGACTGTTTACCAGGGACACCAGAATGTTTCCAGTGTTATTCTTCATCAAATTTAGGTAGCAGACAAAATAGACAGAATCTTCAGATTAGAAAAAAATGACACATCAGAGCCATTATCCCTCTTACAGAAATGAAATATATCCTTCGTGGTAGTTGCATGTCCTTGGATCAGTTGGTCAGTCCAACACTTACTGAATTCCTACTATGTGAAGATGATTGCACTGGGCTCCAGGGGGGTTAAAAACAAAAGCAGAAGTAGTCATTGTCTTGGAGATTCTCCATCCCTAGGTAGGACATCAGAATAGAGGTCCAGGGATGACTTGAGAACTCTTACGAAATAACAGGCAAATAAAAAGATGAAGGTAGGGCAGTGTTAGGGAGGTGCTGATATGAGTGGTAATCAATGGTTGGTGGACCAGCAGCTCCTCAAACAGTGCTTGCAACTGTGAGCAGGTGCTCAGCAAACATCTGCTGAGTAACCTGTGAATGAATGAATCAATTAGGGAATCCTTCCCACTGAAATTGGAGCAAAATTTTAAAGACAAGGAGGGATGTGGTCAGGGGAGAAGAGGTGTTGATTGCACTGCACTAGAAGGTAGAGCCAGGGCCCGTCCAAGCATCTAGCAAGTGGTTCTCAACTGGGCCACCCCTTCCCCCCAACCCCAGGGATATCTAGAATTGAGCAGGGAAGTTGCTCAGTGCTACAATGTGAGGGGGGATCACTACTGGCATTTAGTGCCTGGGGACAGGGATGCCAAAGCCTTTCAAAGATCAGGAAGGTCTCTTGTACAATGAACTGTCTCCTTAAAATGACAAGGGTGTCTCTGTGGAGAAACACTGCAGTAAAGTAGGAATAAAAGGCAGATCGGAAAGAAGTAACACAGGGAACATTAGCTTCTGGGCCTGGCAAAGGAACTGAAAGTAAATCGATAAGAGGAACTTAGACAATTTCCACAAGTGACAACCACACTGATTCAGGAAAAAAATGTAAAATCTGTTGAACTGGGAATCGAGAGTCTTACATTCTGGGAGTGGTTTTGCCATTCATTTCTGTTATGGACCTTGAGTCCGCCCTCAACCTACGTCTCAGTTTCCAAACTACCCTTTCCTTCTCTAACCGGGATGATGAGGGAGCCAGCCAGTCAAGGTCCAGGCCTCTGTGGACAGTCTAAGCGGTCACTGTCACCTCCTTCTTCACTGGATTCCAGTGAATTAAGGCCCCAATGTGCTGGTGTTCCAGTGTCACATACTTGGTTCAGGAGAGAGATGAAGAATATCTACAGAGCTTTCTCTTGACGAGGACACCTGAGGCAGGGAAAGGCGCACAGCCTGAGGGAGGGCTGGAGACCAGGGGCCCACTCCCATACCTCAGAGGACGGGTACTTCCTTCTCTCTGCTCTCACTCCTTTCTCTGTGTTCCCCCTGAGGGCCGGCCCAGGAGCATGTTCACAAAAGGCACCCAGCAGCTGATGGGCAGCCATCATTGTTCCCAGGTTTGTCTCCTAAAGGGGGTTCTCTTATCACTCAGCAAGACGGCTTTCACTTTTGGCAGCTGTACTTGAAAAGAACTTAACTCTCTACTCCTGACTCTGTCGGGCTAAATATACAAAAAGTATTTTGAACTCCTAAAGGAAAGATGGCATGTCATTAGTACAGTCTCTGAACTTCATCTCAGCAGGGGGTATTGGAGACAGACTGTTCCTGGAATAACAAAAATCCTAAGAGATGTGACTAAAAGTTCAAAAGAAATCTCTAACACGGTATCTGAATTTTCTCCTACTCGTGGCTGTCAATATTTAAAAAGTCTACTGACTCTTTTCTCTCCCACCTCCAAATAATTCCTGCTGACTTATGATGAGGAAATACAGTGCCTGTTGATGTGCAGCCCACAAGAAGATGATTTAAAAAGCAAAAGTCAGACAAAGCAAACAAAAAACAAGAAACTCAGCCGCTTGACCATCACTGGGGTGATGCAGCCCAGGTGAGATCACCCGTTGAGAATAACTCCACAGGACTGACGTTGGCTAAGTCCTCTAACACAAGCTGAGTGGGACCCCGGAGCAGGGGCTGCTTTCCTTCAGCAGACGGATGTGATGCTGGGACCTAAAGGTCCTTTTGGGTTTAGACATCTGGCATCCTATCAGTCACTAAGCAACATCTTTCTGTGACTCTCACTCCTCAGTCTGTCCACATGAAGTATGTCACCACACACTTAACACCCTGGTACTAAGTACCATCGACTGCCCGAACCACTATTTTTAATGTCTGACTTTGATTGTGCTATTTAATTTGTAGTTATTCTACATCATTAAAAACTTTATAGAGAACGACTCATCATCTAACAAGAAAGGAGAGGAGAATATGCCAAATGTTTTAAATAATTCCTTGAGGGGAAAAAAAGCGCTTTATGGCATTAGATTAAAATTGTACGTACGTCATATACCAAAGCAAAAGTTTTTTTTGCTGCCTCCTCTCTTAAAAATACTTTGGCTTCGGGGCCAGCCCCCTGGCATAGTGGTTAAGTTTGGTGCGCTCCACTTAGGTGGCCTGGGTTTGTGGGTTGGGATCCCGGGAGCAGACCTACATCACTTGTCAGCCACGGTGAGGTGGTGACTCACATATAAAGTGCAGGAAGATGGGCATGGATCTTAGCTCAGGGCAAATCTTCCTCAAGAAAAAAAGAGGAAGGTTGGCAACAGAAGTTAGCTCAGGGCGAACCTTCCTTAGCAAAACAAAACAAAACAAAAAAAACACTTTGGCTTTCACACACTATTTTATTTTACTGTTGGAAAATAATAAAATAAATAAACATTGGAATTAAATAGCAGAGAAAAAAATTACTTAGGTAACTCATGATTGAAGCCTGAAAAACTACTCATAGTAAACTAGATGAATTGTCCAATTTCCTTCTTTCAAGAGTTGTACCCTACAGTAACCATATTTTTCTCTTCCTAAATCATCTCCTCTCATAACTTTCCTCTTATTCAGTTCTCAGCAAAATAAGTTGAGAGAATGCTTCATTGATCTTTCCTGAGTTCATTACTCATTCATGAATGACTCTGAAGCGTAAGTCTATGAGACAAGTTTTCTGCCAGAAATAACCATTTTCCAGGTTCTCTTGAAGAGGTGACATCTTTTCTCTGTCTTTATTATAGCAAGCTTGGTGCTTGGGAACACAATCAGTAGACATTCAGGTCTCAGTGTATGCTAAATGAATTACCAGTCACAATCTGTTATTGAAAGGAAATCAAAGAGGAAATTAAGTGCCCTTATTGTAATTGAGTCAAGCACAAAATAAGTTCCTGGATATTGGAGTGGGGAGGAACAAAGGGAAGAGGCTGAAATTCAGAGGGGCTCCAGGATGATCCAATTTCTTTTTTACGTGATAGAAACAGAATTAGCACGTGGACAGCTCTGTGATTCAATCTGAAGGACCTACTATGTGGAGGTGCTGGGCTTGGGCTGGGTGACAGTCAAAACAGACAAAGCCCTCGTCACAATGTGTTTAGGGTGTAGGGGTGAGTCAGAAAAGCTAAACTTACACAAACATTCTAGATTACACGGGCTATGACTGAAGAGGACAGGGTGCTGTGACACAGAATATGGAGGGGCTCTCATTTGGAGGCAGTGGCCAAGGAACGCTCACTAAGAGACAACACAGCTGATGACTGAAGGACAAAGCAGAGTTGTTGAATCAGAGAAACGGGAGTGGGTGGGGAAGAAGGGACTCCAGGCAGGGAAAACAGTTTGGGAGCAAAGGCCTGAGGCAGGCCTGGATCCTTGCTCAGCTGAAGAACTACAAGAAAGTCATTGTGGGGGAGCTCAGTGAGCACTGGGGACAGTGGCACATCCCAAGGGCTTTGGAGGTTATGTGAAGGATTTTGGATAGTATCCCCAGGGTAATCAGGAGTCATTGAAGGATTCACATTAGGGAAAGTTGGGTGAAGGATGTATGGAA